TTGTAGGGCGCATAGCATATTTTGACTAAGGAACTGACACCAAGAGAGGGACACCTAACAGAATTTTCAAATTCATGAGAGATATCTCAATCCTTTTTATTTTATTTATTTTTATTATTTTTACCTTTTGATTTTTTAGTTTGTTTTTAGTTTTCTTTTCTTATTCTCCTGGTCTGTGAATATTTTTCCAAGATAGCATGAACTGAATTGGTTAATAAATCTGAATAAACTCTAGGAGGCACAAGTGACACTGTGAAAATTCATAATGATTTTTTTTCATGACAATGCATTGAATATTATCTAGAGAATATGACTGCTCATTTGTGTGATTTTGTTTTTGAGAATTTTTAGCTAATGTTTTGATGTGGAAATTAGGATTAGATTCTAGCTTGAAACCATAGCCTGTGAGGTTTGAGCCTAAATAGTTAATTTTTTTTGAGAGGCCTCACTATAGTGGTACTCTAGAACTTGATTTGTTTCTCTGTGATGTATGCATGAATTGAAATGATAAAGGCATTTTTATTCTTGTTAACCACTTGGCCAAATAGCCCACCTGAAAAAAAAAAAATTCATTGCTAGCCTTTTGAGCCTTAGACTGGTTTTGTTCAATTTTCCATAAATTACTTAGCTGATATTCCTATTGACTCATCCTTGAATGAGATTGAAATACTTATCAAGGAAAATTCAAGATAAAGTTATCTATTAAAAGTTAAGTGATAAAAAGAAAAATAGTACCTCAGAGGAAAAAGAAATCCGTCTGAAAAGAGGATGTGCAAAGGAAAAGAAAGAAATTGTGAAAGAAAATTTATGCTATAAATTATTAGCAATAAGAAAGAAAGAAGTGGTGAAAAAGGAATAATCATGCATTGAAAAGAAGAAGTAGTAATCATTGTATGAGAGTTAACTGAGCCCTGAATCAAATTAAATATATTTCAATCTCACACAATAAAGTTAACTACTTTTCAAATCTTCCTACCTCTAAATCAGGTCATGTTACAACCCTGAAAATACCTTTTGATCAATTTCTACATGTTATCTATGTTCCTCATCTTTAGGAACTTGAGAATAAGATCAAGTCTATGGTAGTGCTATTACACTGATGGATTGAGCAATTATACCCAAACACTTGAGTGATGAGTGTTTTGTTTATCCTAATAGGGGTATTCAAGTTAGATTCTAATTTTCTTTTTTTGTAGGGTGCATAGCATATTTTGGCTAAGGAACTGACACCAAGAGAGGGACACCTAAAAGAATTTTCAAATTCAGGGGAGATATCTCAATCCTTTTTATTTTCTTTATTTTTATTATTTTGACCTTTTGATTGTTTTGATTTTTAGTTTGTTTTTAGCTTTCTTTTCTTATTCTACTAGTCTCTGAATATTTTTCCAAGATAGCATGAGCTGAATTAATTAATAAATCTGAATAAACTCTAAGAGGCACAAGTGACACTGTGAGAATTCATAATGATTTTTTTTTTGTCATGACATTGCATTGAATATTATCTAGAGAATATGACTACTCGTTTGTGTGATTTTGTTTTTGAGAATTTTTAGATAATGTTTTGATGTGGAAATTAGGATTAGATTCTAACTTGAAAACATAGCCTGTGAGGTTTGAGCCTAAACAATTAATTTTTTTAGAGCTTTGAGGGTTAGAGCTCGCAATAGACATATTAGGGTTTTAATTCAAACTGGGGTAAAATAACAATTTGTACATGATCTAGACATAATCTTGTATGAATTGCAGACTTCTTAATTCATTGGACTTAATGCTTAATTCAGGAGGGATTACTAAGACATTAGAATTCTAATTGGGTTAAAGGGTTAAATATATTAAGACATTAGGGTTTAATCAATTAATTTAAAGAGGATGAATTGTCTGAACAATTGAAATAATTGATTATAAGAATTAATTTAAATTAATAAGGGGGATCAAAGGTGAAGTGTATCTTGGCTACAGTTCTTTATTATAATTCTTTAATTGTTCTTGCATGTTCTTGATAGTTTTTACAATTACTTTTCATTTTATTTTAATTCAAAAATTATTCTCAACAATCAAATTGATTTGTTCAAATTAGAAGGAATAGTGGGAATAGTACTTGGTGTCATTAATCCTCGTGGAAACAATATCTTATTCACTACTTTATTACTTGAGACGATCAGTATACTTGTCGTAATCGCAACACCAACCAATAATGAAAATATAATAGGTGGAAATAAATATTTCTTCTAAACGATATTTTTTTATGTGCATGGATCTTGAATAGAGGTACAACACAATTGGTAGATGGCTAGATTCGTTAACTATGTTAATAGAGGTTCAATTTTTGGTCATGTCTATAGAAAATGCGTTGTTGGTAGAGACAAAATTCACTTTGGTGATCTTTACACCTTAAAAATTTTAATTTTTTTCGATTGACGGCCGGAGAATACTTAAGAAAAACTCAAAAAATAGAGATGTATGTGCTTAAAAAATGAGAACCTCATGTTAAAATAAAATAAAAATTAGAACCTCTATCACTTGAATCAAACGCTCCTAAATATTCGGCGACATTATTTGCTACCCAAGAAAAAATGTAAAATAATTTTTTAAAGTAGATTTTTGTTTAACATGAATAAGTAAGGGTATAGATACTCATTTTATAAATGTTAATAAATTATAATTATGATACATTTTAAATTAAATAAAATCATAAATATATTCTAATTTACGAATCCCCTTTAATAAAAAAAATTCCGAAAAATTTAAGCAAAAATATTAATAATGTAATGCAAAACTTTGTCCTAGAATATTTCGGATTAAAATAGGTAATAACTATTTGAAGGAGAAACCAATGGTGCTTGCATGCAGACTTGAATGAGTTTCTATAGAAATGCATGGGGCTGAATAATTATTTCCAACAAAACTAATTAAATATTAGGATGTTGCAAGGATACTTGGTTTGAAAAGATAGTGAATATAATTTGAAAAGATATTACTTAAAACTCCAAAATATCACTGGAATAAGAAAACTATACTTGATTTTCTGTAAGTACTCCTGGAGAACATCTTTAATATTATCTTTATATTAAATAATGTGTATGATTTTCATTCAAAATAAATATAAATTATATATTTTCGAAAATGCATAGACATAAAAAAATTTCCTCTTTCCTTAAAAATTATATCAATACAAATGTTATATTTATTTTTTTATTAGGCAAATATAAATACTGCGGTAACCTTTAAAATTCATTAATTTACTATGACTGAAATCTGTTTCATTATTTGATAGCAAGGAGCAACATGCCTTGTTACTGTACTTTGGTATTTATTAAGAGACAACCAGCGATAGGTCCAAGTCTCACGCGCGCATTACTCATCAGATGCACTTTTATTTTTGTTGAATATAAGATATATCATACGGTTTTATGTTTAGTACGTTACATAATTTAACTTCATTTTTTTATACACACAACAAAAAGAAGAGAAAAAGTGAAATGATAAAAGAAAGAGAAAAATATATGCACTCCACTTTTTTGATGTATGTGTAGAAAAATAAAATTAGATTATATAACATAACAAATATAAAATTTTATATGATATCTCATGAATTTTTTAATGGGTCAAAGTACAATTGTCATCTTACAGGACATTAATCTCGTCATGCTACACACACAAAAACTAACGAGGGCCACCATAATTTAAAAAAATAAATATTAAAACACAAATTTTGAAATGTCTGCAGGAAACTAAATCACTTTCCTATTGCATGGCATTTGTTTTTTCCCTTTTTTAATTATCATCAGCCTGCATTTGGCGCTTTTGGATGGTGGGAGCATGCATGGAAGCATTTGACACATTTAATTCGTACATATCAACAAATCATAAGGGTTGGAATTGTGTAATTTTTTTTGTACGGGACGGTTGGCATGCTTACCCCATTGAGTAGGCAATTGAATTTTTAAGTGGATTATTTAAATTGCGCTTGTTATCATTCTTTACAAAACTTTCATGTAAATTTTAATAAGAATTTAGTGACGGAGTCATGTTGTGTTTATAATTATTTTGATATTAATTAATTTAGCTACGTTTCAAGCATAATTAAATAAACGTAGAAAATCATGTTTCTTATTTTTTGAAAATTAATCACGTTTTGGACATAGCTATATAACCATAACTATTTTGGTATCGGCTGAATTTTTTGGCACTAGCTAAGATGTTTTGCTAGCTTCGTCACTGAATTAAAGATAAAGGTTGTGCCAAACAAAGACGAGACAAATGAGAAATAACGAAAATAGAAACAATCATACGAGCAGGGATGAACCGAGAGGGGGATAGGGAGGGCCCTCACTTTGGAAATATTTATTGTGCTACGGTTGCACCAGTCACTTGGTACGACTAGCCAATAAAAATAGAAGAATAACTGTGATATTTGTACGCAGAGGAGCGAAAAATATTTTTTTATCCAAGTGTCACTTGTTAAATGACAAACACACCTACTATGGTTGTATGAAAAATGATCTCCCTCACTTCTGCTTTCTCACTCCCCCAATTTTAGTTTCAATATATATTTTATGTGGCAAGTAAAAAAATTTAAATTATATGTAATTTTGCCTCTTTTATAAAAAGTATTTTTTTTTACACCGGAGAATGAATAATAAATTTTACATTCAATTTTTTGTCATTAATTCACTTATATCCAAAAATTTACATAACAAAAAAATAAAAACTTTTAGATATAAGTGGGATCAACAATCAAGATTTGTTAAGTATGACTCATATTTCGTATTCAAATAATGACTCTTGTTGGTCAAACTACGGAATCAAGAGAGCTTGTGAAAGAGGATATTAATGATATAACAAAATGTTCATGTGTATATAACCCATGGTTGGCATTGCCATGGAGAAGAGAGGATATCAAATTTCAAGAGAGCTTGCTTACTTTCGAGGCACAATTGAAAGTTCGAGCTTAATATTATACCTTAAGAAAACGATAGCTAGCTAGTGCTCACGCAGAGATGGAATGGAAGAAGTGTTATTTGGATGTGATATTGGTGCCATTAGCATTTCTGATAAGCATTGGTTATCATTTCTGGCTGTGGTACGCTGTTCGAACTCATCCACACACAACTATCATTGGCATCAATGCCAGTGGTAGACGGAATTGGGTTGCTGCCATGATGAAGGTACCTATCTTTCTTTAGTTATACCTTTGAAATGTAATATTGAACGTTCATTTTCCATGCATAATTCTAGTTATTAATCGACCAGTTATCTTAAAAGCTTCAACTTAATACTAATTAATAGTGTCAGCGAAAAGTTTATATGCGTAGCACTAGCTAATTATATATACCCGGTCTTCCCTTTTTAGTACTTACGGAACATTAATAGTTGGGCTCATCAGCAACCTGTTGTTGGAATTAATTTTTACCATATGATATTTCTAAGGAGAGAGAATGGAATAAAGGAGTAATTAAAAGTCAAAGTGATTTTTTGTTTTCTCAACAGCATTTTGCGTGTTAATTATATATTCCTTTTCCACTTGGGTTTTCGCAATTTATTCTTGTTCCTACCAGATAAAATGCCATTTTCATTACTAGTCACAAACAAAGCAAGATGAATGTTCTTTATTTAGGATATAATTAGGCGAATATCCTACCCAACATATTCTAGCTAGACTTAGATAATGTGTATGCAAATCCACATATTAATGATAAAACATTAAAATAGAAAAATCTAAGCATTGTGCTGCATCTGCTTGTGAACAATTCCTTCAAATGTTGTCCAAATTAAATCGCAGGAATCCTTAATTTATTCATGTTTTAATGCGTGATCAATTACTAATGGGTTTTTCTCCTTAGTATATACCAAACTAGCAAACAAGAAAACGAGGGGGGAAAAAAAGACTTGTGAACTTAATTTGTAGCACTCTTGAGTCTTGACTTTTTACAAAGCTGTCGTACGTATCTCATGTACCTAAAACTAAAACATAATCTGTCATATCCTCAACAAGAATTTCGCAGTGTCTTTCAATCAATCACATCTGCAAATAGGCTATGACCTTGTAGGCGATGAAGAAGTGGCTACCACTGTACTTTTCATTAATTTGTGCTATTTCACCTAAAATTAAAGTATCATGATAACTTGTTACAAAAAAAAAAAAGTTATAATGATAACAAAATGTTTCCTTGGAATTAATTGTGACCTAAAGTAGTAATTTTCATTGGAAAAAGCAAACAGTAAATTGTAAAGAAACTTGAGATACACCACTCCAAAAGCTAGTTCAAATGGTGGGAGTGTCTAAGATCTTACAAACTCTATATTAGTTGCATATATAACTAATGTGCAACTATATATCTCAACACGCCTCCTCACACGAGAGTCCATTGGACTTGAAGAGTGGACAATGCAACAGGCCCAACTTGTCTGTGTTAAGAAACACCACAAGAGAAAGCAAGGGGCGGCGATGCTCTCATACCATGTAAAAAACCTTGAGATACACCACCCAAAAGCTAGCTCAAAGGTTGGGAGTGCCCAAGGCCTTATAAACTCCACATTAATTATAAATACAACGAATGTAGGACTATATATCTCAACTCAAATAATCTAACAACGCAAGAGTGTTGAATTTGGCAGGACAATGAGAAAAAAAACATCCTGGCTGTTCAGTCACTGCGGAACGCAATCATGGGTTCGAGCCTAATGGCCACAACCTCTGTTCTCCTGTGCACAGGCCTAGCAGCAGTCATAAGCAGCACTTACAGTGGGAAGAAGCCACTCGATGACACAGTCTATGGGGCACATGGGGAGTTCATGGTTGCTCTCAAATATGTCACTCTGCTCACTATGTTCCTCTTCTCATTCTTCTGCCACTCTCTTTCCATAAGGTTCATAAATCAAGTTAACATCCTAATCAACACCCCGCAGGACTCAATGTCCTTGGTGACCCCAGAATATGTGAATGAGATCTTACAGAAAGGCTTCATTTTGAACACCGTCGGAAATAGACTCTTCTATGCAGCACTTCCTCTGTTGCTCTGGATCTTTGGCCCGGTATTGGTGTTCCTGTGCTCTCTCGCTATGGTTCCAGTGCTTTACAACCTTGACTTTGTGGTCACTAGTAGTGGAAAGGGAAAGATGGACGCGAATGAGAATAGGGATTTTGTATGAATTAACATAGATATATTTATAAGGGTTTTATATATGTTACGTTGGACACTTTTATTGTCATGTTACTCTAATACATTTGACGTGGGTCCCACTTAAAAAGAAAAAAAAATAAGACGAGTCTCATTTATCATGTGAGAGTAGCATGACACTAGTGTCATGCAACATAATATGTATAAAACCTTATTTATAATATGTGTTAAGTTATAAGATTTGGTTTTGTTCTTCCTTTTTTCAATGATTAGAAACATGTATGTTCTCCCCGCTTTGAGAAGCTTGTAGAACATATTTTGAATCATATTCAATAATGTGGGTTGTGAATATAAACTAGAAAAATAGTTTTCTCATTTTACATGAGAAAATTTTTTCATGCTACACTCACAATACATAAATGGGTCTCGTTTTAACTTTTTTGTCTTCTCATCTTTTTGTGGACCTCACTTATGTATTGTGAATGTAGCGTGAGAAAAAAATTTCATATAAAATAAAAAAATTAATTCCCTATAAATTAATGTGTAACATTCTGTGCATGATTTTGATTTGCTTTCTGCTTTTGCAGAAAGCAGGATATTTAGTGCCTCTTTTTTTTTTTAACTTGAATGGTTCAACTACTCCATTCTTCATTAGTTAATAATCCAGTCATCTCAACTAACATCAATTTAGTGTGAAAAGGATAAATATATCAACAAAATAAGAGGTAGGATATTCATACTACCAATTTTTTTTTGTAATAACTACCAAATTTTTCTACTACCACTCTAATCACCATTGGATTAGAGGAAAAATTGAATCAAGAGAGAGAAAAGAAAAATAATTTTTGAATCCAATGGTGATTAGAGTGATAGTGGAGTGGTAGTAAAAAAATTTGGTAGTATGAATATCCTACTTCAAAAAATAATCTCATGGTCATGGCATTCGGAAAGAAAAAAACAAAAAAGATGATAATAATTTCGTATAGTGGGGGATATTATGTTAGACTCTGAAGATTCACAAAGAAACGAGATGGATAAGAGCACCACTTGGTCGGAATAAAATATTGTGGAAAAAAGTTATACTCCAATTATTCTTAACTTCAAAATCCTTTTTTTAAAAAAAAAAAAAAAATATTCCAAGAGTATCCCTAACCGAAAGTCAAGAATCAATCCCCTCGAGGTGAAATGATCACACGATCATTGGTACAACATTTACCAACAAAGCCTTTTTTATACATGCGACAGGAGTTTGATCAGTGGCCGTGTGTATAGAAAAGACTTTGTTGGTAAAAGTTGTACTCACAATCGCATGATCTCTCTGCCTCAAGGGAATTAGTTCTTGGCTTTCGATGGGGGAATACCCTTAAAACAATTTCCCAAAAAACAAAAAAACATGTAGGAAATTTTGTGTTTTATGCATGTTGGAGTTATTATTCTTATTTGTTGCGACTTCGGCAAGTGCACCGGTCGTACAAGTAATATAGCGAAAAATAGTGGAGTTATCATTCCCACAATGACTGATTATCAAGCAGTAACTTATCTATGCGATTAAAGTTAGATCGATCTTAAAACAGATTTGTTGAGAATATTGACTTAATTATAAAAATAGAATTTTTAAGAAATTATTTTTAATTTTTAATATTTGAGAAATCAAGAACTGAATTCAAGAATTAATAATGCAAAGAAAACGATTTTAACTTTAATTAATGACGAGTGTAGCTAGGGATTTGACTTCATCAATAGTTTCTTAACAAATTTAACTTTCATGCAATTAAAGATTGCAATCAATTATTGACAATTCTTTCTGATTTAATTGAATCCCCAATCCCTTGGTGGTTTCAATTCTTTACTTTATTCCAAGACTCTAATCTCTTAGGGTCTTTTTGTAAAGCAAGCTTTAAGGTCTAGAATTACGCGTTATAGAATTTATAAGACTATTCTTAGAACATACAAATTCTAGCAATTAACCAATCGGATTCGAGCATACAATACTCCTATTGACATGAAAAATTCTACTGCTCATTCAAGATTGATCAGATTATAAACAAGACTGCGAATTTAAAACAGATTAATTGCATAATTGAAATATGAATAAAAATTACATCAAAACTAAACAGCGTTCAAGAACCCATTGGTTCTGTCTTGCCCTAACTATATAAAAAGACTTAGCCTAGCATGTTCATGGAAACTAGAATAAAAGATGAAAGAAAAAGAGAATTCATGATACAACCAAGTTAAATATGATCCACGGTGAAACTTTGAGTTGTTCTTCTTCCTTATCCTTTCCAAAAGCTCTCTTTTGCTTCCTCTCCAGGTCTTTGGCCGTGTGAATCCCTCTCAAAAGCCCTAATTACGTCTCTTTTAAAGAAATAAAACTGGGCTTTGAATTTGGACTAGGCTCGCTGAGGCGCTCGCCGAAGCAAGATGCTCAGAGAGCAAATTTTAACTCCTTGCTTGCATGCTCGCTCTAACGAGCTGCAGAGCAAGGGAACGCGAATCAGAAAGCGAGAAAGCCAGCGAGCAAGATTTAATTCTCATTAATTCTTTATTTTTCTTGGCCTTTATACTTTGTAACTACCTTTATCCCTTAGTATTTGTAATTATTATTTTATACCTAAAACAAGATGAAAAAGATATCAGAATCATATCAAGTATAACATTTTTATAATCTTTTGCATTTATTAATTTATATTATGTTCATTATCATATTTATCTTTATTTAATATAATTTGATCTTAAAAGCATAGTGTCTATGACACTCATCAAATCATCCCCATATTTATTCATTGTTGTTCTCAACAATGAATTAATTTAAGAACATTGGATACATGCAAAAGCATAAAAATCATGCTCAATGCAAGATTCAAATAGTAAATCAATCCACAAATGATCAGACTTAATGAAAAATAACAGAGTTTGGGAACAAACATCCAACTAAGCAGTCTTGAAAGCAAGCAAGTCATAAAATCATTACATGAGATCTATCAATCAAACATAGCAACTGAATTTCAACACACCTCTTTCTGGAGATATCAAGTCACTCATCACTCAACTATCTAAGTGTTTCACTCAAATCTTCACTGGATCAAAACTTACATAAGCTTGATCATATTCTCACTCTCCACAATTAATTAACATGCACAAAAGATCAGGAGGTGTTTATTCGGGTTGTAATGGGGCTTGGCTAAAGGAAGGATAAATAAGATAAAACTAACTAAAGCATTGGAACACACAAATATCATGGTAAAGTGTAAACACTTTAAACAAGACAATGTTTTTTCTCCCGCTTTCCTCCTTTTTATTTTTCAGCACTTTTATTTTTTTTTGTATTTTTCTTTTTCAACACTCAATACTTTTTTTTTTCATTTTCTATATTTTTCAACACTTTTATTTGCATAGAATCAAAAATAATTATTTTTACCATTTTCCAACCTTTGTTTTTGCTCAACTCACCTAATGATACAGTACTCATGCTTACTCCTTACCATGAACTTTCTATAATCCAATCCTATTTAAGGTGGATGTGTATGAAGAGTGGCTAATTAAAATAATAAGTTATTTACAAAAGAAAAGGCTCAGACTCAAATGGTTAAACAAAGGATATCATAATAGTTGGCTTTTTTGGTAAGTAGCTAAAACAAAAAGATGGCTTAATCGTTTCAAAAATGCATGTAAACAACCATTTTAAGGAGAAACAAAGCAAGTTCCAGAAGTATTTTCAATAATGAAGTGCACACCAAATAGAATTTTTTGTTTAGGCTCAAAACCTCACGGCTATAAGTGTGCAATTCAATTAATTATGCTATTTCTCAATTACTTATACTGTAATTTTAATATTCCTGCTGACTCTTAGACTAACTCAATCAATGCTTACTCACAAAAATAAAATATATCGTAAGTCATCACATAATGGATTAATTTCACTAACTAATTCTTAATTAATTTTGCATTGGCATAATTGATAACTCTCTAAAAGAGAGTTGTTTTTGGCTTAATTGTGATGTTTTGGTGCCAAGAATATGCATAATTCTCTTGATTTTATATGAATAAAGTATGAATTTTATGTTTTCATGATTTGAATGAGAAATATGTTAAGTGTGAATATTTGAAGATAATTTGAGTATTGGAACCAATTATTACATTTGCTATTTATTGCAGGTCAATGTTGTAGCATCGGAAAACAATGTTGTAGCAGTGTAGATGAGGTCAGCAGTGCATGTGGTTGACATCATCACCAGCAAGCTATGGATCCAAGCCCAAATTGATGGAGGAAGCTTCTGAACGTGCAAAACAGAGATTTGATCTGAATACGCACTCAAGGATCTTCAAGAATCCTAATCAAATATCTCACAAATCAGCACAAACAATTCCAACTCAAATCTGAATTATATATTTGGAAAGATTTGGAGAAGATATGCAGCAACATGCTCTGTTAGCATTACAGCAAAACAGAGTCATATTCCCAATCAATCGCAAGGCAGATTTGAATGAGATTTGCAATGGATATGAAGAGTTGATTAAAGCCCAAAACATAAAAATATATAAAGAGAAGAAAACTACACACAGGAGATACGGCTGGAAATATTTTACACACCTAATTGAAAGCATATTTTAGAGAGAGAAAATGGAGAAACACTTAGAATGAATTTGAAGGTTTGACTGGGAGTGTTGCGAAATCGGCAAGTATACCGTTCATTTCAAGTAATAAAAATGATAAGTAAAGATCGTTCCCTCGAGGATTAATGCACCAAGTATTAATTTAACTATTCCCTTAAGTTGGAAAAGAAATTGGTTTGATTGTGAAGGTGATTGATATTTGGAATTTTAAAAACAAAATTTTAAAAACAATAATATTAAAAGGCATGTAAGAAAAGATCAAGAACGTCACGGAAAATATGAGATTGATTAAAAATTGTAAAAAGGTTGTAGTCAGGATGCACTTCACCTCCGAGCCTCCCTTATATTCCTATATTGCATTTTATAATTAACTAATTGGTTTGCTCAGACAATTCATTATTTCCCTATAAAATA